CTTGAAGTTTAGTTGACACACAGTTACACTGGTTTCAGGTATACAACACAGTGATTTGACAACTCTGTATGTTATGTAGCTCACCACAAACTTAGCTACCCTCTGTCAGTACACAATGCTATTTGACTGTATTCCCTATGCTGAAACTTTCATCCCTATGACTTACTCATTCCGTAACTGGAATGAGTGGGAGCCTGTACCTCTCACTCCCCTTCACCCATTTTGCCCATCCCACCAGTCCCTTCCCCTCTGGCAACCACCAGTTTGTTCTCTGTATTTATGGGTCTGTTTCTGCCTTTTTAAAAACAAAACAAAACAAAATATAATTAACATACATTGTTATATTGTTACATACATTGTTATATTAGTTTCAGATGTACAACATATTGATTCAACATTTCTATATGTTACTTAGTGCTCAAAGTGGTAAGTGTGGTCACCATACTATATTTCCTATGCTGTGCATCTCATCTTCATGACTTACTTATTCCACAACTGGAAGTTTATCTATTTCACCCATTCCCCCACCCACATCTCCTCTGGCAACCACCAGTTCTTTGTATTTAAGTCTTTTTTGTTTGTTCATTAGTTTTGTTTTTTAGATTCCACACATAGGTGAAATCACATGATGTTTGTCATTCTCCGACTTAAGTCACTTAGCATGATACCCTCTAGGTCCATCCATGTTATCACAAATGACAAGATCTTATTCTTTTTATGGCTGAGTAATACCCCATTGCATATATATACCACTTCTTCCTTATCCATTCGTCTATCATTGGACACTTAGATTGCTTCCATATATTGGCTATTGTAAATAATGCTGCAGTAAGCATACAGGAGTATATATCTTTTTGAATTAGTGTTTTCCTTTTCTTTGGGTAAATACCCAAAGGTGGAATTATTTCTATTTTTAATTTTTTGAGGAACGTCCACACTGTTTTCCACAGTGGCTGCAGCAGTTTGCATTCCCACCAACAGTGCTTGAGGGTTTCTTTTTCTCCACATCCTTGCCAAACTTATTATTTTTTGCCTTTTTGATACTAGCCATTCTGACAGGTATAAGGTGGTACCTTATTGTGATTTTGATTTGCATTTCCCTGATGATTAGCGATTTCAGCATGTCTTCATGTGTCTGTTGGCCATCTGTATGTCTTCTTTGGAAAAATATCTATTCAGGTCCTCTGCCTATTTTTAAATTGGGTTCTTTGTGGGGTTTTTTTTGGTGTTAAGTTGTATAAGTTCTTTATATATTTTGGATATTAACCCCTTATAGGATACATCATTTGCAAATATCTTCTCCCATTCAGTAGGTTGTCTTTTCATTTTGTTGATGGTTTTCTTCACTGTACAAAAGCTTTTTATTTTGGTATACTCCCAATAGTTTATTTCTGCTTTTGTTTTCCTTGCTTGAGGAGACATATCTAGAAAAATGTTGCTAAGGCTGATGTCAAAGAGACTACTACCTATGTTTTCTTATAGGACTTTTAGGTTTCAGGTCTCACAGTTAGGTATTTAATCCATTTTGAGTTAATATTTGTATAAGATGTAAGAAAGTGGTCCGGTTTCATTCTTTTGCATGTAGCTGTCCAGTTTTCTCAGCACCATTTATTGAACAGACTGTCTTTTCCTCATTGCATGTTCTTGCCTCTTTTGTCATAGATTACATGACCATATATGTGTGGGATTATTTCTGGACTCTATTCTGTTCCATTGATCTAGGTGTCTGTTTTTGTGCCAGTACCATATAGTTTTGATTATTATGGCTTTGTAGTATGTCTTGAAATCTGGCATTCTGATATCTCTAATTTTGTTATTCTTTCTCAAGATTGCTTTGGCTTTTTGGGGACTTCTGTGGTTTCATACAAATTTTAATATGTTAACATATTTTAATATGTTATATGTTCTAGTTTTGTGAAAAATCCTGTTGATATTTTGACACGGATCATATTGAATGTGATTGCTTTGGGTGGTATAGACCTTTTAACAATATTTGTTCTTCCAATCCATGAGCATGGAATATCTTTCCATTTGTTTGTGTCATCTTCAATTTCTTTCCTCAGTGTCTTTTGATTTTCAGAGTACAGTTCTTTTACCTCTTTCGTTAAGTTTATTCCCAGGTATTTCATTCTCTTTGGTGAATTTTTTTTTTTTTTTTTTTTTAAGATTTACTTATTTATTTGTGAGTGCACAAGCAGGGGGAGTGGCAGTCAGAGGGAGAGGGAGAAGCAGGCTCCCTGCAGAGCAAGGAACCCAATATGGGACTTGCAGGACCCTGGAATCATGACCTGAGGTGAAGGCAGACGCTTAACTGATTGAGCCACTCAGGTATCCCCTCTTTGGTGCAGTTTTAAATGGAATTGTTTTCTTAATTTCTTTCTGCTATTTTGTTATTAGTATATAGAAGTGCCACAGATTTCTGTATTAATTTTGTATCCTAAAATGTTACTGAATTCATTTATTCTAACAGATTTTGGTGGAGTCTTTAGGGTTTTCTATGTATGGTATTATGTCATATGTAAAAAGTAACAGTATAACTTCTTCCTTACTCATTTGCATGCCTTTTATTTCTTTTTCTTGTCTTTGTACTGTGGCTAAGACTTCCAGTACTATGTTGAATAAAAGTGGTAAGAGTGGACATTCTTGTCTTATTCTTGATCTTAAAGGAAAAGTTTTTAAGCATTGAGGGTGATATTAGTGGTGGGTTGGTCATATATGGCCTTTATTATGTTGAGTATGTTCCCTCTAAATCCACTTTGAGTTTTTATCATGAACAGTGTTGAATTTTGATACTTTTTCTGCATGTATTGAGATGATTATATGATTTTTATTCTTTATCTGGTTAATGTGGTCGATTGATATACAAGTATTGAACCATCCTTACATCCCTCAAATAAATTCTACTTGATCATAGTGAATGAGCCTTTAATGCACTGTTGAATGTGGTTTGCTAATATTTTGTTGAAGATTTTTACATCTATGTTTGTTAGGGATATTGGCCTATAGTTTTCTTTTTGTACTATCTGGTTTTGGTATCATGGTAATGCTCAAAAACTAGACATTTTAGAAAATTCTATAGCTATTAGAGAGGAAACCTGAAGACAAGGAATGTCTTCAAAGGGCTAAGAAAATAAATGTCAATATAAAATTATATAACCAGCAAAACTATTAAGAATGAAACCCAAATAAAAGAATTTTAGAAATAAAGCTCATTAAAGAATGAAAGAAAAAACAAGTTACCAACAATTAAATGCAATTTTCAGTAGTGAGAGAATGCATATTTTTAAGATTATATAAAATATTGATCAAAGTTGATCATATACTAGGAACTAAAGGAATCTCCAGAAGATGCTCTTGGATAAAAAAGCTTAGAAGAAAGGGTGGAGATGCAAGAAGGAATAGTGGGCAAAGAAACTGATCACGTATTGGGTAAATTTAAACAAAGACTGATTTTTATAAACAGTGTAATATGTGGTGTTAAAACAATGCTGACCATGTTAATTTATAAAGCATGTTAAGTTCCTTTAAGACATGGGAAAGTATTTTGAATGTTTGACTATTTCTAATCTATTTAAGTAGTAAAAGAGTAAAAAGGTATATGATAGGACATATATATATTAGAGAGGTAGACTCCAGAGCCAGAATTTCATGATTTAAATCTTAGCTCTGACATTTACTAGTTGTGTAACTTTGGGCAAATAACTTTTCTGTGCCTAGATTTATTTATTTTTTTTCAAATCAGAGCTATAGAAATAATACTAGTATCTAATTCATATGGTTGTACCAAATGAATTTATGTAAAGCCAGTTAGATTTAGAACAGTGTCTAATCTGTCATAATTGCTAAGAAGTTTAAATCACAATCACAGCATTCCAGCACTGTAGAGGATTTAGGATATAGATTTAGAGAAAAACCATAATCCAAAAGAAATCAAGAAAGGATAAAAAAGAAAGAAATAAATAGCACAAAATGAGAGCAAATATAGCAATAATTAACATAATATAAAATAATAAAATAATGTAAATTAACTAAGATCTTCAGTTAAAAGACCAATATTATCAGACTGGATTAAAGAAAAAGTCTAGGAATGTGTTGTTTCCAAGAGACAGCTACAACATGAAACTGCTGGAAAAAGATTGATCAGTCAGAGCCAATGGATGGGAATGGTTGGGATTCTTCCTCCACTACCTTCCCCTTCCGTCGTAGTCCACTTCGGTGTCTCAGTCTCCACTACTTCCTTCCTCAACCATCCACAGTAGTGATGTCTGCGTGCCATTGCTGGGTCTCTTGCTCATGGCTTCTCGGTGCGCCCCGTCGCGATTGGTGGAGAGGAGCCCACGTCATGCCAGCTGTGAAAGAGAGGGCTTGTGACGCAAGAACGCCTCAGCGCGCGGATTGGCTTCTTCGAGGCTGGAGCACAGTAGAGCCTGGTGTCCGGTCATTGCTGCCCCGGGGCCACCACTGCAGCTCCCTGCCCCGCAGCCGAGGCCACCGCTGCCGTCTGTGTCACCGCCGGGGGACTGGTTATATGATTAGGCCACAGTCTTTAATGAGTAAACAAGCTCCTTTCTGTGGTGTTCTTGGCCACGCATTTATGGAGTTTCTGAAGGGCCCCAGAGATTACTGCCAGGCACAGCACGACCTTTATGAGGACAAGTGAACTGTGGAGGTTCATTGCTACTCAACTGGGAAGCCCCTGTAAGATCGGTTATCCTGGACACACAAGTGTAGAGTTGAAATCACTGGAGCATTTGACAAGAATTCTGACCTGGATGGGGTAAACCTGGGTGCACTTCCTTTCCATTGACTCAGGATTACTGAACTGAAGGATTGCTGCTTGTTAGGAGGTTCATTTCATTTCCTGTTATTCTCAATTACATTTTCAAAGCATTGAGAATTTCCAGTGGAGTACATTGGAGTATACTTGTTTCTTAACATCATTTCTGTATTCAAATATTTAAAACACTTTTTCGTAACTGTATTGTTTCAACTAAATTAACATGGCTCCAATGAACCGGCCAGCCCCCGTGGAAGTCACATACAGGAACATGAGATTTCTTATTACACACAGTCCAACAAGTGCAACCTTAAACAAATTTATAGAAGAACTTAAGAAATACGGAGTTACTACAATAGTAAGAGTATGTGAAGCCACCTATGACACTGCTCTTGTGGAGAAAGAAGGCATCCAGGTTCTGGATTGGCCTTTTGATGATGGGTCATCACCATCTAACCAGATTGTCGATGACTGGTTAACTCTTGTAAACATTAAATTTCATGAAGAACCTGGTTGTTGTATTGCTGTTCATTGTGTTGCAGGTCTTGGGAGAACTCCAGTGCTTGTTGCCCTAGCACTAATTGAAGGTGGAATGAAAAATGAAGATGCAGTACAGTTTATAAGACAAAAGCAGCGTGGAGCTTTTAACAGCAAGCAACTTTTGTATTTGGAGAAATATCATTCTAAAATGCGGCTATGCTACAAAGACTCCAGTGGTCATAGAAACTACTGTTGCATTCAGTAAAACTTGGCTCCCTGATGTTATTGCTTTGGAAATGGAACTTGAGACAGGACTTAATTATCATACATATTAGCCAACATGTAGGCTTAATGAATGACAAGTCTAATGAAGCTTCCATAGGAATCATGAAAAAGCCACAAGCTTGACAGAATTGTAGCCTCTATGTTTGGCTTCGTACTATTCCCATGCCAGAAAAAATATGTAAGAATTGAGAGATTAGGTGCCAAAATATCCAGCACAATACTTGTATATTTTTAGTATCATATATAATTAAAATCCTAGAAATTATGAACAGCACTGTAAACCATATGTGGTTTATTCCTTTAGTCCTTTCAAACATTGCAAGTAGGGCCTATGTGGTTATTTGTTCCTTCATGTTTACCATCCCACATGAGCACCAGTATACATCAGGTTTTAGCAAAAATTGATTTTTATTGGATTCTTACCAAGACTTAGGGGATTATTTAATGTCTTTCTATTAAGCTCATTTTGTGCTGTGAGGAAAACCTCCATTTTGAAAAATCACAAATCTGTGGTTAAAAGTTCATGTAAAATACACATTGTACAGAAACACATGTGTGATGTTTTCAGACAAAAAAGTCTTACAGTTACTTTAATGTTTACAGTTGGGGTGCAACTTAGAGGGGGAGGGCCTGAAGACAGAGTGGGAGGAGGCTATGAAATATCTCTAGTAAAATGTTGCCTTTGCCTTGTGCAGGATGTATAGAATAGGTCTTTTATTTAGCAAAAAAAAAAATTCTTTTTAAGGCAGAGATGCTTTATAGCCCAAACATTTCTTATTTATAAAATTTCTGAAATCTTGAAATTCTTCACCATGTCTATTGGAAGTTTATTAACTATTTTTCTTTGAAGCATATTTTTTCTTGTCTTCCCAATCAAGAGAAGTAGGTTTCTACTAATGAAGTAAGTAGGCATCTAATATTTTATATGCTTTTTGAACTGTGCAACTTTGTATTTGGATACCTGATACTTTGTTTTATTATGTAATTGATAAGATGATGACCTGTATTAATGCTAGTTTAACCATATATTCATACTGTCTGGGAATATAGTTCTGCAGGAGAAATAATTTCAGTGTTCACCATTCACCAGCTAGTACAAGAGCTTAACCATCTAAATAAATAATGAATTGCAGGAGGGAGAAAGAGGCAGGATGGTAGAAATGTGTTAATATGCCTCCTACCCATCCTTTACTCTTGGGACTCTGTACACATTTCTCCCCCTGAAGCCTTCTCTTATTTCTCATAGGAAGTATCTGCTCCCTTCTCTGAGTACCCTTGACCTTTATCTGCTCTTCTTTCATGGACTTAACCACTTTGTCCCTTGTGGAACAATGAATTGTGTCCATATCTCCTTCACTAGACTCTGAGCTCTGTAAAGGCAGAGTTCTAGGAAGCATTCTAGATTTCCCACAAGATCTAGCTAATTGTTGGCAATTAGATGAAGAAATTCTTGGGGAGGAAGTCAGGGTTATAGAAAAGTGAATTCTCAGGACCTCAGGGACAAGGCTCTCATTCACTGTGTGCCTGGGTATCTCCCCTCACACCAGAAAGTTCAAAGGAAAAACACAGTGACAAAGATAGCCATTTTAGAACCCATTTATATTGTCAGTGTTACTCTGGGCTTGTTCCAGCCTCACAGCAGCTTCTGAGACTGCATCACACTGTTTGAACATTCATGGCTTCCTTGGGCCAAGTATAGCTGTCCAGTGTAAAGGAGTCATAGTCTGGAGTGTAGACCAGGGATCTTACAAAAGCCTCCTTGTCCTTGGGCTCTGGGTAGTAGGAGGCCAGGTTGTGTTTGTACGCGAAGTCGAGGACCTAGGGAAAAACATATTGGCTGAGGAACTGGAACTAAAGAGGAACCTGCCTAAAAGTTGCCTAAAGGTTGCTTGGGAGCTTGTGGAAGGGTAATAGCCCCTGCGGAACCATGAACTGTTGTCCCTGAAGCCACTCGATAGGAGGGATTTTGAGCTTTCGCCTGGGTAGGAAGCTGCGACGCGGTGGAATAAATACGAGGCCGGGATCGAGAGGCCTCAGACTCAAGTCTGCCTCTCCTTCCAAATGCCTGTGGGTCCTCAGCAGTGACATTATCCTTGTTGAGCCTCAGTTTTCTCATATGTAAAGTGGGAATAATGAGACCTTTCTCTGGAGTAGTGTGAGGATAAAATTAGGTAATAGGCAAAATCAGGTTTCCAGTACCTGATATTTTTCCCCCACTAAATGTGGTTGGAATTGGGAGAAGAGCCTGGACATTGTTCTCTGGGTATTAGATATGGTTTCGGAAGAGCATTAATCTCAATACCTCAATAGGGTGGAGCTGGGACTATGAGCTGGACTGTTAGTCTTGAGGGCTGATTCTGGAGCCTACAATGGACAACTCATGCGGAGCACATGCTATTGTGCAATGCATCTTCTGAAATTATTTTTAAAACTTATAGAAAATGTAAAATATATATACTAATAAAAATGACAGTATAATAAACCCTAATGCAACAGTTATCTATATTCAACAGTTATCAATGTTGGGCCAGTTTTTATTGCATTGTGTTCTGATTCTCTGAAAACCCATCATCCCTGCAAAGTCTCTAGGAAGACATTTTTCCTTGGAATAGTCCATGAACATGATCATCCTGTGGCCCAGCCTTTCTGAGAAAAAGGGGAGGAATGAGCATTTTCCCTACACTGAGTGTAGAGCTTTCTCACTGTCCTCTTTAACCTTCAGAACTCTGGGAGAGAAGAATTACCATCCCCTTTGGAAAAGGAGGAAACTGAGGCTCGGGAAAGTGAAGCAATTGGCAGAGCTGGGACCTGACAGCCAGAGCTCTTTTCATGATGCTATGAAAATTGACCTTTCTGTATAAATGGGCACTTATGATTCAGTTTTAAAAAATTCCACCCACATTCTGGTCTACAAGACTATGGACTTTGTTGACCTTTTTGCCTGGTGTTTGAGGGGAAATCCAGGAGCTTTCCCAGAACTGGCCTTAGGGGGTGTTGGGGGTGGGGCTCGAGCTGCAGGCAGGGGTTTCTCATCCAGCCTCTGGATGGGAGCTTAGGATGTCTCCACAGCTGCCATCCCCTTAGCTCTCCTAAACTCACAGAGAGAGGAAGTCATTGAGCCTCACTAGCCATATTACTGGGGGTAGGATGCTCCTTACTTTGATGGCGATTCTCAGAGACACATCTCGGATGGTGCTGAGTGGTGGGTACAGTCTCCCCTGGGACAAATGCTGCTCAGAGACCTCTTGGGCAATTTGCTGGGGAGAGAGAACCGAGAGGAATAAGCTGGGTTTCTGCCTTCCCAGAACAAGCCCAAACCATTACTCCAGAGATTCACCTCGCCCCTCATAGGTGGCCAACCATTGCAGTTCCTGTTGTAGTCTCTGCCCTCTCATGGCCCCAGGGCAGCTTAATACTTGGGCTTTTATTATTTTTTAAAGATTTATTTATTTATTATTTTAGATAGCGGGTGAAGGGCAAAGGGAGAGGGAGAGCGAGAAAATGGAGCCCGATGTGGGGCTACATCTCACGACCCTGAGATCATGACCTGAGCTGAAATCAAGAGTCGGACACTTAACCAACTGAGCCATGCAGGTACCCCAGTGCTTGGGCTTTTAAGCAAAGACACATCCTTTTCTGTACTGTGAGATTGGCTGAGAGTTTAAACTATACAAGACCCTAAATTCTAAAGGAGAATCACTAAGACCAAGGTGAATAAACTTGTGGCTTGTAAAGCAGACTCTCTGGCTGGTCCAGCCTACTGCACAGAGATCCCTGAGACTCTCCCTTCCTGAGTTCCAGTCTCTCCCACATCCTGGGTGCCTACCTAGGTCATCTTGTCTCTCTGTATTCAGAGCTCCTTGAGCTCTCCCTTCCAGTCCTGAGCAAAGGCTTCTTCTGCAGTGAGTGACACCATAAAGGGGCCTTAGGCTTTATCTGAATGAATGCCCTAGGCACAGCATCCTGGGAACAGCCCCTCCCACAGCTTCCTTCCGTGGTTCAGAGCTGGTCTCTGAGGCCCAGCTCTCCCCCTCAAGCCTCATCCTCCAGCCTCAGGCGCTGGTGCTCAGCCAGCCTTGTGGAACAGCTTCTGTTCTGTGCTGGCTCTGAATCCCTCCCACCCGATCTTTAAATCTGGGAAAAGCCATGGTGCTCTCTGAGAACTGTGTCCCAGAATGGATGAACCAAAGGAGTTGGTCTTGCCTCAGAGTTTGGCTGACTTTATGGATGTGGGCCTCCTCCTCTTCCGCCTCACTTTCATGCTCCTATCTCTCCTTTCCATCTATTCATTCCAACATTAACTGAGCTCTATGATATGCCAGGCTCTGTGCTAGTTGCTGAGGATCCATGGCAGAGAAGCCTTTTTCCTCCTGTAGTCTGGAGTCAGTGGACAATTAACAAACAGGTACAACAATTATAACATAGAAGTGAGTGCAAGCAGAGGGGGCACATAGGCATAGACTAAGGCAGGGCCTGGTCTGCCATGTACAGGAAATCTTCCCGGAAGATGTGACAGCAGCTAAGACCTGAAGGACAAATTATGAATTACTCGAAAAGGGAGAGGCAACATCACATGCAATTTCTTGGAGAGAGACAGCAGGAGGGAGCATGAGTTCTAGACTGTAAAAAGAACATTGGCTAGGTCAATGGGAGGGGGAGGCGAAAGGCTGGAGAGGAAAGGAGGGCCTGGTGATGACATGCCTTATATGGAAACCATGTGAAGGAGTTTGGGCTTTATCCTGTAAGCACTGAGGAGCCATTCAAATGTCTGAAATGAGCAGAGACATGGACTGTTCTGGGTTTTCAAGGATTTTTTGGGGGGGTAGGTACAGAAGATGGTATCAGAGGGAAGCTGGATTTCCATGGCTAGATCTGCATCTGGAAGAGTTATCCTGCAGAGTGAAGAGATGTATCATGTATGGTGGTCACTTCTCAGATGTTGGGCACTGGTAATGCTCTGCTGCAGCTTGGAGTAAATCATCGGGGGCCATCCTGGTGCTGTCACTGGTCACAAACCCAGTGACCTTGGGCATGTAACTTAGACTCTCTGTGCCTCACTTTCCTTGGGTATCACATAGGAATAATCACTATATTTTACAGAGTTGTCAGGTGGAATGAGATATATAAATCTCCTAAAAGTTATAGTAATTTTTTCCATAGGAAAATCAGATTCAACTTAAATTGTTTTAACTTAAAAGTACCCCTTTCAGAAATATAACTTGCCAGCCCTTTAAAGACCAGACTGTCAGCTTCTAGAAGGGAGGGATCTTGTCCCAATTGCAGCAAGAGATTAATAGATGGATTGAGGAGAGGTTCCTGTGTAGTTGATGGACACTGTTCATGAAATGATGGAGCTGACCTGTCCCAGTCACTAGGAGGTGGGGGTCTAGATGCCTCTTGGGGTTACAGAGGAAGGCTCTAGCAACCTTTTTCTGTGCAACAGGGGAGTTTGCTTTCAGGCTAATTTCAAGCAGGAAATGACTTTTCCCATCCAATGGCGGGGGGATTCAAACAGCTCCATCCACAGCCACGGGACACCACCACCACTGAGAGAGCAATAAGAAGAAATACACAGAAAAGTCACACAAGATGGACAGCGGCCCATGGCACAAAGCCATAGCCAGTGTGCACATGGCTTGGGGGAGGCTGACAAACCTTTAGGAGACACCACTTGCATATTCTTGTGGAGTCAGTGCTCAAAGACCAAGATTTAGTAAGAAGGAACCTAGAACATGAGATAGTTCCTTGTGAGACTCATAGAAGAAGAGCCTGCTAGGGCTATGTAGAAGCCCTTCCCATGTCTTGCTGGTCTGGGGCACTCACCAGTGCCATGGCAAGGGGGAAATGCAATCGTGTCAGAAATCACAGTAGAGCCTTTGGAGCTTATTGGGGATAAATATATTTAGTATTTGTTTATAGTTTTGATTAGTTTAACCTCCCCAAAGAGACATTTCTATGGTTTCCTCAGAGTGAAGATAATGTGAAGTGCCTGGCATTTAGTAAACACGTGGTAGATGTAAGCCACTGTAGCTGTTAGTACTAGCAGTCATTATTAGGAATGTAGGCTGTCATTCTTAATGAACTCTTTCATTGTTTTCATCATGTCCAGTGAAGACTCATTTTGAGAGTGCTCCTAGGAAGAGAGCTGGAGCAGGGGCACCCCTGTGTTCAAGATCCGGGTCCTCAGAGTAGGCAAACCAGGCTTGCAGCTTATCCCTTCCTTACAGAAAGCTGCCCTAGTGGAGCTTATTGTGCAACAGGTTACCCTGGTAAAGTGGCCAAGATCAGTGGTCGGAAGAATCCATTGCTGGTCATGGTCCATGAGCCGTTTCAGATGGCTTTGGTGGCCTTGCCTCTGTTTCAGGCATGTATGTGGGCACTGCTGGGAGGCAAGAAGCAGCCTGAGGTACATCCCCTCACTACCAGTGCCTCCTGCCAATACCTCCTCCCATTGACTCTTCCTTATCTTCCCTTAAAAATGTTGTGTGTGGAGGAGAAAAGATGGCAGAGGAGTAGGGGACACTGTTTCAACTGGTCCCCTAAATTGAGCTGGATATCTACCAGACCACTCTGAACACCCACGAAATCAGCCTGAGATGTAAGAAGATAGATCTGGATCTCTACAAACAGAATATCGCACATGGTTGGTTTCGAGGTACAAAGCAGGGAGCCGTGATTCCGCGAGCAGATATAGGAGGATAAATGGAAGCGGGAGGAAGCCTGGCTGTGGGGATCCTACACTGCCAGTGAGTGATAGCCTCCCCTGCTGGGGACAGGGCACAGACTCGCAGACTGGAGGCAGGGAAAAGACTTTAGGGCAGCCCCCCGATGGAAACCTGGAGCGGCAGGGCCATGCATGCGAACTGGGGGCGGCTGGTGGTTCTAGAAGCACAAAGGGCAGAGACGAGCCCCGACCTGGAGGCGAGGACTGGGAGTGCTGTTGAGGGGCACACAACCCAGGATGCTGCAGTTTATAGCAGCTCAGACAGATACGGAGATAGTGTGGCCTGGAGAGCTCACTGAAGAACAGACTGTGGGAGGGAGCATGAGTTCTAGACTGTAAAAAGAACATTGGCTAGGTCGATGGGAGGGGCAGAGGCAGAGGGTTGGAAACAGTCTCTTCTGCTCTGAGGCAGAGGGTTGGAAATGGTCTCTTCTGCTCTGACTCTTGGAAGAGACGTGGAAAGCCTCCAGGGAAAGCTGCCAGAGAGCAAAAGCCCCAAAAAACCGGTTTCCACTGAGACCATCCCCCACCACAGGGTGGGTAGGGCAACTCTGCCCAAACAGGGTTGCCTGAGTAACAGCGAGGCAGGCCCCTCCCCCAGAAGACAAGCTGGGAAAACAAGAGGCCAGGAACCCTAAGGTCCCTAGAAAACAGGTGCATCTTGTTGGGGTTGTGGTCAATAATTTGGACTCTATACATTCCCTCAACCACCCATCAACAGAATGACTAGGAGGAGGAACCCCCCAAATAGGAAAGACTTAAAGACTATGACTTATGCCACAGATTTACAAATGGATTCAGATATAACCAAGATGTCGGAGATGGAATTCAGGGTAGAATTGTGAAGACAATAGCTAGAATGGAGAAATCAATTAATGGCAACATACAGTCTCTAAGGGCAGAAATGAAAGCTGAATTGGCAGAACTTAAAAATGCTATCAATGAGATCCAGTCCAATCTAGATAATCTAACAGCTAGGGTAAGTGAGGCAGAAGAACGAATTAGTGGCCTGGAAGACCATTTAACAGATAAAAAGGGAAAAGAGGAGGCCAGGGAAAAACAACTCAGAATCCATGAAAATGGAATCAGAGAAATAAGTGACACCATGAAGTGTTCCAATGTCAGAATTATTGGAATCCCGGAGGGGGTGGAGAGAGAGAGAGGACTAGAAGATATATTTGAGCAAATCATAGCTGAGAACTTCCCTAATCTGGGGAATGAAACAAACATTCATGTCCTAGAGGCAGAGAGGACCCCTCCCAAGATCAAGGAAAACAGGCCAATGCCCCGGCATGTAATAGTAAAACTTGCAAATCAGAATCAAGGAGACCATCTTAAGGGCAGTTAGAGGGAAGAGATTCCTTATGTACAAAGGGAGGAACATCAGAATAACGTCAGACCTACCCACAGAGACCTGGCAAGCCAGAAAGGCCTGGCAAGACATATTCAGGGTACTAAATGAGAAGAACATGCAGCCAAGAATACTTTATCTGGCAAGGCTCTATTTTGGAATGGATGGAGAGATGCAGAGTTTCCAAGACCAGAAGAAACTGAAAGAATATGTGACCACCAAGCCAGCCCTGCAAGAAATATTAAGGGGAGGGAGTTCTATAAAAGGAGAAAGATCCCAAGAGGGATATAGAACAGAAATTTACAGAGATGATCTATAAAAACAACGTCTTCACAGGCAACATGATGACAATAAATTCATATCTTTCAATAATCACTCTCAATGTGAACGGCCTAAATGCTCCCATAAAATGGCACAGGGTTGCAGATTGGATAAAAAGACAGGACCCATCCATATGCTGTTATCTACAAGAAGCTCATTTAAAGATACATCCAGATTGAAAGTGAAGGGATGAGATCCATCTTCCATGCCAATGGACCTCAAAAGAAAGTTGGGGTAGCAATTCTTTTATCAGACAAATTAGATTTTAAGCTAAAGACTGTAGAGACACAGAAGGACACTCTATCATTCTTAAAGGCTCTATCCAACAAGAAGATCTAACAGTTGTAAATATCTACACCCCCAACCCCGGAGCAGCCAAATACATAAGCCAACTGTTTAACCAAAATAAAGAGTCATATTGATAATAATGTTAATTGTAGGAGACCTCAATACTCCACTCTCAGCAATAGACAGATCATCTAAACAGAAAATCAACAAAGAAACAAGAGCTTTGAATGACACACTGGACCAGATGGACCTCATAGATATATACAGAACATTCCACCCCCAAACAATAGAATATTCATTCTTCTCGAGGGCACACAGAACTTTCTTCAGAATAGACCACATACTGGGTCACAAATCAGGTCTCAACTGATACCAAAAGATTGAAATTATTCCCCTCATATTCTCAGACCATAATGCTTTAAAACTGGAACTCAATCACAAGAAAAAATTTGGAAGAAATTCAGACACTTGGAAGCTAAAGACCACTCTGCTCCAGAATGTTCTGGAAATCAAAGAAGAACTTAAACAATTCATGGAAACCAACGAGAACGTAAACACATTGGTCCAAAACCTATGGGACAGTGCAAAGGTGATCCTAAGCGGGAAATATATAGCCATCCAAGCCTCACTCAAAAAACAGAAAAATCTCGAATTCACCAACTAACTTTACACCTTAAAGAACTAGAGAAAAAGCAACAAATGATGCCTAAGCCATGCATTAGAAGAGAAATAATTAAGATTAGAGCAGAGATCAATGAATTAGAAACCAGAAACACAGTAGATCAGATCAACGAAACTAGAAGCTGGTTCTTTGAAAGAATTAATAAGATCGATAAACCACTGGCCAGACTTATCCAAAAGAAATGAGAAAGGACCCAAATTAATAAAATTATGAATGAAAGGGGAGAGATCACAACTAACACCAAGGAAAGAGAAATAATTATTAGAAATTATTATCAACAACACTATGCCAATAAATTAAGCAACCTGGAAGAAATGGATGCCTTCCTGGAAATCTATAAACTACCAAGACTGAAACAGGAAGAAATTGACAACCTAAATAGACCAATAACCAGTAACGAGATTGAAGCAGTGATCAAACACCTCCCAAAAAACGAGAATCCAGGGCCTGATGAATTCCCTGGGGAATTCCACCAAACAGTCAAAGAAGAAATAATACGGGCGCCTGGGTGGCTCAGTTGGTTAAGTGACTGCCTTCGGCTCAGGTCATGATCCTGGAGTCCTGGGATCGAGTCCCACATCGGGCTCCCTGCTCAGCAGGGAGTCTGCTTCTCCCTCTGACCCTCTTCCCTCTTGTGCTCTCTATCTCTCATTCTCTCTCTCAAATAAATAAATAAAATCTTTAAAAAAAAAAAAAGAAGAAATAATACCTATTCTCCTGAAGCTGTTTCAAAAAATAGAAACAGAAGGAAAGCTACCAGACTCATTCTATGAGGCCAGCATTACCTTAATCCCCAAGTCAGGCAAAGACCCCATCAAAAAGGAGAATTTCAGACCAATATCCCTGATGAATATGGATTCCAAAATTCTCAACAAAATCGGAGCTAATAGGATCCAACAATACATTAAAAGGATCATCCACCACGACCAAGTGGGATTTATCCCCGGGATGCAAGGGTGGTTCAACATTCGCAAATCAATCAATGTGATACAACATATTAATAAGAGGAGAGAAAAGAACCATAATGGTCCTCTCAATTGATGCAGAAAAAGCATTTGACAAAACAAGGCAGGAAACATCCTTTCCTGATTACAACTCTTGAGAATATAGGGATAGAAGGAACATTCCTCAAGTTCATAAAATCCATCTATGAAAAACCCACAGCGAATATCATTGTGAATGGGGAAAAGATGAGAGCCTTTCCCTTAAGATCAGGAACACAACAAGGATGCCCACTCTTGCCACTATTGTTCAGCATAGTACTAGAAGTCCTAGCAACAGCAATCAGAAAATAGAAAGAAATAAAAGGTATTCAAATTGGCAAAGAAGATGTCAAACTCTCTCTCTTCGCAGATGACATGATACTTTATGTGGAAAACCCAAAAGACTCCACCCCCAAACTACTAGAACTCATAACAGCAATTTAGTAATGTGGCAGGATAGAAGACCAATGCACAGAAATCAGTTGCTTTCTTATACACTAACAGTGCAGCTGTAGAAAGAGAAATTAGAGAAATGACTCCATTTATAATAGCACCAAAAACCATAAGATACCTCGGAATAAACCTAACCAAAGAGGTAAAGGATCTATACTCTAGGAACAACAGAATACTCATAAAAGAAATTGAAGAAAACACAAAAAGATAGAAAAATATTCCATGCTCATGGATCAGAAGAATAAACCTTGTTAAAATGTCTATGCTGCCCAGAGCAATCTATACCTTCAATGCCATCCCGATCAAAATTCCAATGACATTTTTCAAAGTGCTGGAACAAACAATCCTAAAATCCGTATGGAGTCAGAAAAGACCCCGAACCACAAAGGAAATGTTGAAAAAGAAAAACAAAGCTGGGGGCATCACGTTGCCTGATTTCAAGCTATATTACAAGGCAGTGATCACCAAGACAGCAGGGTACTGGCACAAAAACAGACATATAGACCAATGGAACAGAATAGAGAGCCCAGATATGGACCCTCAACTCTATGGTCAACTAACCTTCAACAAATCAGGAAAAAATATCCAATGGAAAAAAGACAGTCTCTTCAATAAATGGTGCTGGGAAAATTGGACAGTTATATACAGAAGAATGAAACTCGACCATTCTCTTACACCATACACAAAGATAAACTCAAAATGGATGAAAGACCTCAATGTGAGATAGGAATCCATCAAAATCCTAGAGGAGAACATAGGCAGTAACCTCTTCAACATCAGCCACAGCAACTTCTTTCAAGACAAGTCTCCAAAGGCAAAGGAAACAAAAGCAAAAATGAACTTTTGGGATTTCATCAAGATAAAAAGCTTCTGCACAGCAAAGGAAACAGTCAACAAAACAAAGAGGAAACCCACGGAATGGGAGAAGATACTTGCAAATGACACTACAGACAAAGGGCTGATATCCAAGATCTATAAAGAACTTCTCAAACTCAACACCCAAAAAACAAATAAGTCATAAAATGGGCAGAAAGACATGAACAGACACTTCTCCAAAGAAGACAAATGGCTAACAGACACATGAAAAAATGTTCATCATAATTAGCCATCAGGGAAATTCAAATCAAAAACACATTGAGATACCACCTTACACCAGTTAGAATGGCAAAAATGGACAGGGAGAGAAACAACAAATGTTGGAGAGATTGTGGAGAAAGGGGAACCCTCTTACACTGTTGGTGGGAATGCAAGTTGGTACAGCCACTTTGGAAAACAGTGTGGAGGTTCCTCAAAAAGTTAAAAATAGAGATACCCTATGACCCAGGAATTGCCCTCCTGGGTATTTACCCCAAAGATACAGATGTAATGAAAAGAAGGGCCATATGCACCCCAATGTTCATAGCAGCAATGTCCGCAATAGCCAAACTGTGGAAAGAGCCGAGATGCCCTTCAACAGATGAATGGATAAAGAAGAGGTGGTCCATATTTATGATGGAATATTACTCAGCCATCAGAAAGGATGAATACCCAACATTTGCATCAATATGGACGGAAGTGGAGGAGATTATGCTAAGTGCAATAGGTCAAGCAGAGAAAGTCAATTATTATATGGTTTCACTTATTTGTGGAACATAAGGAATAGCATGGAGGAAATTAGGAGAAGGAAGGGAAAAATGAAGAGGGGGAAATCAGAGGGGTATACGAACCATGAGAGACTATGGACTCTGGGAAACAAACTGAGGGTTTCAGAGGGGAGGGGGTGGGGGGATGGTTTAGCCTGGTGATTGGTATTAAGGAGGGCACATATTGCATGCAGCACTGGGTGTTGTACACAAACAATGAATCATGGATCACTACATCAAAAACTAATGATGTACTGTATGGTGACAAACATAACATAATTTAAAAAAATGTTGTGTGTGTTCTGAGAGAAGTTTAAGCCTCAAGGTGATCTTGAGAGAAGCTTGAGGTTCAAGCATTGAGGATCTACTGCTGGCTTAAGGGGCAGGTAGGTAGAAGAGAGGAGAGAAGGAATCTTTGGGGGCCCAGTGTAGGACCCAGTATAGAAGACAGGCCTGATTGGGAGCATGCACGCAAGGGAGCAGGGACAGCGATACCTCTGCTGTCAGGAGGAAGATCTCATCTGGGATGTGCCGGACCCCGCCAGCAATGACTCCCAGAGCCACTCCAGGGAACACGTAGGCATTGTTTCCTTGCCCAGGAATGAAGGTCTTGCCATCTTCCAGAGTCACACTTTTAAAAGGACTTCCACTAGCAAAGATCCCTCGGCCCTGGAGGCAGGGAGAAAAGCAGAGATGGAGCCTGGAGATGGGTTTCAGGCAGTAATGGTGGCCTAGTTTTATCTCCCAAATGTGGAACCCTTCTTCATTCCCTCCCACATGCTCAGCATTGTGCTGAGCACACTGCAGGTGCTGAAAGCACACTTGTTCATTTGACCAGAAAGTTTAGCTCCCACTGAGTTACCTGGCAGCCAAGAAATCACTGAAAGGTGAAGGTTTTTAATCTATCACCTCCTGAGAGGGCTAACCCAGGACACGACAGGAATGCAGGTGACCTAGAGTCTATGAATGCCTCAGGTTCTGGTCAAAGTTCTATGTTACTAGAGGAACCTTGAGCAGTATAACATGAGGGTGAGAGCTTGGGCTTTGGAGCGAGACCTGGGTTTGAGGGCCAGCTCCACTCATTAGCTCTGTGACCTCGGGCAAGTTATTTCATCTTTCTGAACCTCAGTTTTCTCATCAGGGATGGGGATTTTTCTTTACCCTCATAGGGTTACTCATAATATTACTATGTCCTCTCAGCCTGGGGAAGGAAGGACTCCCCGCTGACCTCAGTGACCCGGTAGCACTTCTCAGCCGTGCACTCAGCCTTGCTGGTGGGGTTGCTCAGGGCAAAGATGATAGGGCGCTCGTGGAAGGAGGCCATGTCCTTCAGAATCTGCTCCGTGAAGGCTCCTGCGATGGCAGCAACACCTACAGGGAAAAGGGGGGTTGTAGGGATGCCTACTCTTTATAAACACCCCATTCCTCTCCTGGTGATGGTCATGGGGGGGACTTGGTACAACATGGAAGACTCAGGAATCTTGGAGATAGTATCTGCCATAGGGATGGATAGAGGGAGCTGAAGAGAAAAGGGTCTTCTTGGTTGAGCTGGGTAAGACCTCCTCTTAATCCTTGAGGGAACACTGGTCCCTTCAGGTCCCTGCCCGGATAAGATGTCCTGTGAAGGCATTCCTGGGCAAAGTCCTTTAGAGTGCGTGCCTCTCCCAATATAGGGAGAGATGCCAGTTTCCCCTCTTTGGGAGAGCAGTGCTCACTTCCTCTCAGAGAGACCAGCCCTGTGCTTTTCCACTGCACTGTATAATTCTGCATCACTAAGCCCCAACTTAGTGCCTTAGTTCTATGGTTTTTATACAGTAGTCACTCAGTGAAAGACTGTGGCACTGAGGTGGACATGGGATCGGTGAGACAGCAGTACTTCCATCAATTACTTATGCCTGCTGGCTGAGCCTTAGTTTCCACCTGCAAGTCAAGGTTAGCTGGGCTGGACAGTGGGACTTCTGCCTCCTCCTACCTATGATGGCCGTGGGCTTCACCAGCCTCACCACCTCCTCCAGGCTGTTCACTTCAGGGTGGTCCTGGGCAAACATCTCCTTCTCATGGTTCAGGTGGTTCCTTCCCTGCAGGGAAAGGAAAACATGATGCCGGGCAGTAAAAATTGCTTGGCTGGACATGGATGCCTCTGGAGATCCTGAGAGCATTCCCCAGAGAGCCCTGTGCTTCGGTCTGAACTGTCAGAAGCCTTGTCGCTCATCCTCTTGATCAGATCTCCTGGTAAAACCTACGGTGGAACTTAAGGATTTTAATGTGTGTTTTGTCATAGTGTGGGGGTGTGTGTGGGTTTCTTCAGCCCAGACCACACATGGAGAATCCCTAAAGACTTTCTTTGCACTTTTAGGGACATGGCTTCCTGGGCCAGAACAGAAAGGCTCTCATGAAATACCTGAGTCTGACCAAGACCATTGGCCCCAAGGTGTCCAGCACTCGGGGCCAGTTGAGGGATGGGGGCCTGAGCCATCAGGGTCAGAAAGCTAATTTGAATGTATTGTACAAGAGCCATTGGCCTCCTTGTGAACAATAATAAGCTAAGCCCCAGGACAGGCTTGCAATGGCTGGCTGTTCCCACAAGCTCAGGATCCTTCCATTTCTTCAAATAGGAGTCAGGCTTTGACAGGCCGGTAAATGGTACAGATTTTCTGATGACTCCTTTGGGTCAGCTGGCCTCATGAGAATCAGAGTGAAGACATCAGCTTGGAGAAAGACTTGAGTAGGGGTAAACTTACTGGGATAAGCAAAATAATGTTGAAAGGTGGCAAGAGGGAAGTGTGGCAGCCTCTGGTGGCTTTTACCTTTGCTGCATTATGCTCTGGAATGACCTGGGCTGGGAGGAGGATCTGGATCTCTATGAGATAACAGAAAGTCAGTTTCTATTTCTTCTAGTCTTGATCGAGAGCCCCATGTACTTCCCCCATTCCTATCTCTGGCATCTTTTTTAAAAAGTCTCTCACTGACATTCTCTGTTAGTGGAATTTTACATTATTTTTGGGCATTAAAACTTGGTGCTCTCAGTGAAGTCCTAAGGGTGGAGGCCATTTAAATGTGCCCCTCACCATAGTCCAGTCAGAAGCTGGACTGTTTCTCATTCATTCTTGCTCTCATATCTCAAACATTACACACTCATTACATGCCAGGCATTGATATGAAGACTATAAAGCCTAATGCGGAGAGAGACAATTAAAAGGGCAACTGCCCTACAGTGAGGCAAGTACAATGTATGGAGGGGGACAGCTACATGAGCATAAATGTAGGAAATGGACTGAGACCTAGATGCTCAGAGAAAGCGTCTTGGAGGAGGTAAGAGAAGACAAGGAGGAAGCAGATGGGGTTGAGGGTTGAGAGTGGGTGTGTGGCAAAAGAGAAGGGCATTTCAGGCAGAAGAAAAAAAATATGTAAGGATGTGGACAAGAAGAGCATGTTATGTTTGGAAAACTGTGGTTTACTCTGGCTGGAGGTTACTACAAGGCAGGAAGTGGTGGGAGATAAAGCTGTGGGCATGCATACACACACTTGCCCACATATTCAAAGCTTTTGGACAGAGCAGTTAAGCCTACTTTGGGATGTGTCTTCTGCTTTGGAGGTTAGAACATTACCCCCCATTGCTCTGTTTTTTGACTGAGCACTTTCTCCCATGGAGACCTCTTATAGTCCAGTTCCAATAGCTGTAGGTGTCAGGAGACCTCTAGGTCTCCAGACTGACAGTACCTTGACAATGAGCCCCTTGGAGTCCACCATCCAGATCTTCTTTGTGGCCTCTGCCTTGGGTATGCCTTCTTTCTCTAGGGCCATGACAAGGAGGTGGGCGATGCCCATGGCAGCCTGGGAGGTACCATATGGTGGATGTTCAGATACAAGGCAAACAGCTGCTCAGCATTTATCAGAAGCTTTACCAAGATCCTCTCTTGTCTGCACCTTTCCCCCTTCTCCTGGGAGGCCCAGGAGTCCTTGAGACACCCACATGTTGGTGTCTAGACAGCTGCAATTATCACAATATACCTGTGTTGCTTCCTCTTCTCTGAACCCCTGAACGCCTCCCTTCCTTCATGCTTCTCCACCCATCCTTGTTCTCCTGATGGTACCTACCTCACCCGCACCTTGGAAAACAAACATGTGATTGGAGAGCTTGTTCTTGGTGATTCGCAGAGCAGCCAGGATCCCTGCCACAGCGACAGAGGCTGTGCCTGCAACAGAGCGCACTGAGATCAATCTCTGGCCACTGGCTCCCCACCCCAAGGGAAGACTCTTGGCAGAGTTCCCCACACCTAGAATGTGCGGCAGAACAAGCAACTCTCCCTAGCCCTTACAGAGGTCATGTCTATAGGCATGCAGGTTTCGGAGCAAGTATATGCCCTGTTTATAGATAACTTTTCTTTTGGGAAACAGCTCCTATCCACCAAGTCATAAGGTTGGTGTGCCCAGTAGCATACCATCATCAGTGGCTTGAGCCCGTCTGGAAGGTACAAGTAAGTTGCATAAGCAGGTGGTTCAGACTCATTTGACACTTTCTTCTGCTGCATGATTTCTTCTCCTTCATTGCACACCTAGGGACTCACTAGGGATTCCTTACGACCAAGGAGAAAGAAGCTTGGGCTTGGTTTACCGATTATTCTTAATGATATACTGGCATCAATGAGAAGTTTCTGGTTGCAGCTACACAGCTCCAGTAAAAGGTAGCCCCAAAGAGTGATAGTGAGAAAAATATTCCTAATGGATAGGACTTCAAGTTGTAAATTTGGTTGTCCATTTTGGTCTAAGAGATGGCTAGGTCTACATTGATTCATGGGCAGTCGCTAATGATTTGGTTGATGGTCAGGGACTTAGAATAGAATAAATAGTAAGACTGGTGATGAGGAAGTCTGGGGAAGGGGTGTGGTGTATCCCCTCTTGGGGTAGGTTTAGAGTGCAAACATTTGTGCCACATAGGAAAGTTCACCAAAGGGTGTAATGAAATAGGTTCCCTCAATCAGGTGGACAAATGGCATGTCCTGTGTATCTTAGCGTCCTTCTCCAGCCACCTAGGATTTACTCCATGAGTTTATGTACAAAGTAGCCATGGTGGCAAGGACGGAAGCTATGCATGGACTTCCTCTCACGAAGGCTGACCTACTATTCCTACTGCTGAATGACTAACCTGTCAATGGCAGAGACTAATATGGAGCTCCTGGTATGGCACCATTCCCTGGGAGGACTGTCTACTTGGCAGCAGGATTACATTGGACTCTTTCCATTACAGACAGGAAAGAGATTTATCCTCCCTGGAATAAACAAATATTCTGGATATAGATTTTCTTCCCCTGTATATAATACTTGGCCAGTGCCATAATCTGTGGATGTTTGGAAACTGTGGATGTCCTAGTCATCATCCTGGTATATTCCAGACAATAAGGTTCTAATCAAGGAATTCATTTTACAGTACTAGAAGTGAAGCACTGGGCTTATGCCCCTGGAATTCAGTGGTCTTAATATGTACTCTGCCACCCAGAAGCAGCTGGCCTAATAGATCAGTAGAATGGGCTACCAAAGACTTACCCAAGACTCAGTTGGTAACACTCTATGAAGCTGTTGAAGTTCTATCTTACAGGATGCAGTATAAGATTTGACTTAGCAAACAATACATTGTGCTCTTTCTCCCATAGCCAGAATACTTGGGTCTGGAAATCAAGGGGTTGAAGTGGAAGTGGTTCCTTTCACCATTTCACCTAATAAGTTACTTGCAGAAATTTTGCTTCCTGTCTCTTTGGTTCTGTGCTCTCTGGATTGGAGGTGTTGGTTCCCAAGAGACAAACACTTCCATAAGAGTTCACAACATGGTTCTACCAAATGGAGAGTTGAGACTGCCACCTGGCCATTTGGTTCTCTTTTTTTGCCATGAAACCAGTGGACAAAGAAAGACAGGGTTACTTTACTGGCTGTCATCAGGCTATTTGATGACTGAGGGGCAACGGAGGACAGGAGGGACTAGATCCGAGCCCAGGGGATCCTCTGGGGTGTGTCTCAGTACTTGCATGCTCATTAGGAGATGTTAGTGAATACTACTGCAACATAAGAGAGGCAGGACCACTGAGGATTCACATCCTTCAGAGAGAAAGGTTTGTATCATCCCACTAAAGAACCCTGGCCAACCGAGGTCCTCTCTGAGGACAAGAAAACATGGAATGGGAGGTTGAGGAAGAAATGTATAAGCATCAACTATGGCCTCATGACTGATTACAGAAACAAGGAATATAGCAGCTATGCATAATTTCTTCCTTGATGATTATGTGATTTACATAATGGTATATATTAGCTAATTTATTCTCCCTCTCCTTCCTCTTATTTTTTATATAAGCATCGTTGGAGGTTAATTCTACAGTTTAGTCTTTAGGTGACAGAATTTTCAAATGTGACTGTGACTGAGTTTAAAGAGTAGTTAATCCTGCCCAGAGATGGGTAGTGCGACTATTTTCCAGAGATGAATAAAATGACTGTAGAGACTTTGCCCCTCCCCATTTTGGGGAGAAGGTGAGAATGTCTTCATTTGTTGGAAAGATGTATTTTATTAGGTATTTTGTTAGAGTTGTTTTTGTTGTTGTTTGGAAGTACCAGTGTATAGAACTGTGTGTATGGATGCTGAACAGTTGAAAGGATGGACTGTGCCAATTATCGGGTAATTGTTTCTCAGTTTCAAACCCACCCTTCACTTGGCTTTGTCTGCAAACCACTTCCCAGCTTTGCCAACTGGCTCTATGCTGGGCTCTGCCAATAACTGGCACCAGAGGGTGACGGAAGGGCTAGGTGAGGGGGACAGAATGCTTTTTCCAGCATCACCCCTGCCTTGTAAGATTGACAGATAAAATGTAGGACACTTAACTTTGAATTTTTGATAAACAACAAATAACTTCTTTTTTAGTGTACGTCCCATGCAATATTATTATAAATATTCTAAAAAGTTATTCATTATTTACCTGAAATTCAAATTTAAGTAGGTATGCTGCATTTTCATCTTGCTAAATCTGTAAACCCCACAGCCTAGGTTTTCCAATTCTACAGCAACAGAATATTCTAGAAGCAGCAGTTCAATTCAGTTTGCAGTTTGTCCATCACTTGCAGAACTAGTCTTGTAGCGCACCCCTCAGAGACACCAACACTAACGGACTGCCGCCTGGTCTTCTCTTTGTTCCCTAGCCTCAGGGCTGGGAGCAGGTCCTTAGGGCTTTTCATTTTTAAAATACATAATAAGCAATACTTTGTACCAAGTCTTCTCTGTTAAAGCAACTGGTGTAGACCCTGACTTACAGTTCACAATAAAGTAATCACATGGGCACTGTTAGCTTCCATGATAGTCAAAGAAACGGAAGTTATAGTGGGACTACTTATGGGCTGTTAAAGTTGCGCAAATCAAAGAATTTGATGTCATCCAAGGCTGGTGAGGGAGTAGTGAAAAGTAAAAAGTTCCAGCATAAATTGTATTTTAAAATGCTATGACCTTTTTTGGAAAACTATTTCCCAGTATAGACCAAAGGCATAAAATGTTTGTGCCCTTTAACCTCATACTTCTACTTTTGGGAAGCTATGTATGGAAAAATCCACAACGCATGTCCTAGGATATTTATGACTGTGTTATTTATAATACGGAATGACTGGAAATAACTTAAACATCTAACAAAGGAGTAAGAGTTAAGTAAATTAGCTAGTGTGGACATATATTGCATCCATTAAAAATGATCATTATGAAGATGATGTGGCAACATAGAAAATGCTATTAAGTTTTTAACTTATGTCAGATATTGTTCTAAGTGCTTCACATGTCTAACTGTAAAGATGTTTATTTATTTAATCCTAACTATTATCATCCTCATTTTACAGCCTGGGAAAATGAAGTACAGAGTAGTTTGCTGAGTTATCCAAGATCATATAACAGAGTGAAAATTTGAAGGGAATCAGGGAATTCCAGGGAATCAGGTTCTAGGCCTTGTGCTCTTAACCATTAGACTATGCTTCACTGAGTTAGTTGGAAGGAAGAGAACCTTAAAAGGTCTACATGTCATGATTCTATTTGTAATGAAACACACACACGGAATCTGGAAGGAACAACAAAATACTAAAGTTGCAGGGTGGGAATATGAGTGAATTTTCTGTTTTCTCTTTCCAGTTATCTAAGGCATTTGTGTTTTGTAGCTCTGGGAAAGGGCCTCTTCCCAGAATATGGGCTAGATTTGTGCCTGGCTTAGAGGGCATGTGTTGGGCTAAGACAGGGGACATAGAAAACAGCTGGTGCCTAATAAATGCACATTCATCATTATGGACATCAGAAGGCAGGACCCGAGGTAGGAACACAGAAGGTGGAGTGCAGGCTCTCCAGCCTTCACACAGGAAGCCTGGAGGAATAAAGTGTCACAGGGTCCCACAGCCTGGGCTGAGGACTACTGGGGGCTTTCCTGACACCCTTCTGAGGGTCCCTGAGGAGCTCCCTGTGCATGTACTGAGGGACTGCCAGGTGACAGGCACCATGCTAGGCACTAGGGAAGGTGAATCACACATGGTCCCTGCCCTCAGGGAACTCCCTGTTTGCCAAGGCTTGAGCACCAATAACCGTAATGTATGTAATCAGTAGTCAGAGGTCATTGTGTGGAATTCATTGCCTTCATTTATTTATTAAGCATCAATTTTGTACCAGACTCTGAGGTACCAAGGATACCCTTGGTAACAAAATAGTTTCATTCCTGCTTTGTAAAGAAAGTATTAACTGAAAGTATAACTTTCTAAAGAAAGTATAATTGGTATTAACTGATTGTGTCATCCAAGTGTGATGACAACTATAGAGAAGTTGGTCATAATACGCTTTTTGTTAGTTCATGTATAGAAAAGGATATTGTCAGCATCAGCGTATCTTTGCTTCACGCCTCCCCACATACTCTGTGTACCAGGTGCGTCATTGATCATTCCCTAACAGGCCGTGTCTTCTTACACTTCTGTGCTTTGCCCATGCTGTTTACCATCTATCTATAGGACCTTCTGCAGTGCGTTATTTATTCCTTAAGACTCAGTGCACAGGATCTCCTCTGCCAGACATCCTGTTTTCCCCAGCCAGGCATCCTTAGCCTCCCCTTCTTTTCCTAGATCTACTTTTTATCTAACCTGAACAAAGTGGGGCTGTGTCATGCCAGGCTCAGCACTGTACTGCATTCAAAAGGAACACCAA